ATCTTGTGAATTTAAAAATAATAATACAGCTGAGATTTGAATACCTTCATTGTCAAGTGATGAGCTACGTAGAATTACATGAAGAAAATAGACACTGAGGACGGAGCACAGTTAGAATATTGCATTAGCTGTTTTCCTTCTAGCAGCGCCAAGTGAAATACGAGTTCATGAGAACAAAATGGAAACGTGAGAAAAAGGAGGAGGAATGCTGTGATACTTAAATTCACTGTGTTCATCTTGCTTAGGTGACTACAGACCTCAAATCAAAATGCACGGATTCTCACACAGGCACCTCTGCCTCTGCTCCTCTGGCTGCTGGGATCATCGCTCTTGCCCTTGAGGCCAAGTAAGTGCTTATCGCCATCATTTTTCTGAGTCCGACTAGTTCTTGCTATTCTTTTCAGCTGTACAGCCTTATTCTAGCGTTTAATATCTGCTGGCTTTTGTTTTTGGGGAGGGGAAAATGGCACAAGCTTGTTAGAGATTGCAACAGTTTCTTTCCAAACTCAGATATTGAAGTTTTCAGAATGCCAGAGTAGTTTGTAGAAATGCTCCACTGTTATCTCTTTCTAATGTTTCCCAACAGCAAACTCAATTTTAAAAAAACAACAACAAAAAACCCTGCATTTTTTCCAAAAAGTAAAATATTTACTTTTCCAGGCCCAGTTTTTAAACTTTTTTTTTTTTTTTTTTAAATTCTTCTATTAAATTAAGCTTTTACTGCTGGTGCTGAATGTTTATACATTAGTTCTGCGTGATTATCCCATTTTATGAATTACTTTTTAACCCCTCTGCCACAGATTTCAACTGTGCACTTACAAACAACACCATTTGGATGTGAGCGCTAATCATTCTTATCTAGTCACGCAGCACTAATGGAGAGACAAACACGGACGTCAGAAGAGCGCCGAAAACGAGTAATTAGTCTTGTGGCAAAACAGAGTGAGGTGATGGAAAAAGACTGCAATTAGGAATGAATTTGATGACAAAGTGAGTCAGCAAAGTTATTATCTAAAAAGCCTCATTTTCTCCAAATCCACAATAAGACTAAAAAGCCTGTACGCATTTAATCACAACAGAGAGGCCAGTTGTGACTTCATGTAAGCCCTTTTTGCGTTTGGTAAATACCAACTTGCTTGCCTGCATAAAGATTAATGATGCTTTGGAAAATGTCTCGCAAAGGGCAGAAGAGGACTTGAAATACGTGTCGACTTAAGATTTTATGCAAGCCAAGAAAGAATGTGACTGCTAAATCGCTGTATTCTGAATTCAATCACCTGTCCATCAGCAGCTTAAGACTATAGGATGATGTAGTTTCAGTGGCTCAACTTGAATTTTAAGCCAAACTTACCATATATGTCGCTGTTTGTGTGCTGTCTGTCTCTTTCTGTGTGTGTGTCTGCGTGTGCACGTACACGTGTTCCAGTAAAAACCTGACCTGGAGGGACATGCAACATCTGGTTGTACGAACTTCTCAACCTGCCCACCTGCTCACCAATGACTGGAGAACCAATGGAGTCGGGCGCAAAGGTACAGCAGCTCCTTTCAAGTTTTCATCAACCCACTGCAGTTTGCAGATGCCTGCGAGGCTCATTATTAGTGTGCATCACATAAACCAGATTTAACTGGACAGAGGTTGAAATGCACACCAGCTGGGAGAGCCAGGATACCGGCTAACGTTTCCTCTTGCTTTCTACAGTCAGCCACTCGTACGGATATGGTCTACTTGATGCCGGTGGTATCGTGTCCATGGCAAAAACGTGGACCAATGTGGGACCACAACGAAAATGCGTCATCACCATGGTCAGCGAGCCAAGGTTAGTACACCGGAGGCTCATTAATACCGCAGCTCGGTTTATCTCAGCACCCTGATCACAAGAAACTGTTAAGGTGACGCAAAGAGGGGAAACACACTGCAACAGACACACAAACACGTGTACATAAACACAACAGAAGCAAATTTATAGATATGTTTGCATTTAAGAACACAGTGTGTCCCGGCTCGGTTCACGTGTCTCCTGGAATCATTACCATTGTAGTCTGGGATACTTGCAGCACATTTTTTTGCTTATGTTGTATCTTCAGGTTTTTGATTGAATTGTGTTTTCTTAATTTGGTTGTTTTGTTTATTCGCATGTGTTTTCGTGAGACGCACTGTGTTGGTCTCCCATGGCCACTGTGGTCTGCACATGTTACAGCTGTCAATTTTCTAAAAACAACTTATTTGTTTAAATTGCTTTGACTAAAACCCACACAGCCTAGTTATTAAACTAAGTCATATGTGTCTCTGGAGGAAATTATCTCATTGGATTAGAGCAAATTGATGCTTCAGTGTTTTTGGAGCTTGACCCATATTATGGACCAAAAAACCCCCCAGCCCCAGTTATACTAATTACTAAATATTCTAATTATTTGTAATCATCTATGCAATTATGAACACTATTTTAATAGATAAAGTTTGAAGAGGTGAATGTTAAACGCAAAGAAAAAGAGGGGTAGAGCAATAACAGCAGTGAATGCTACATTAAAAGAGAATGCGCCAAATATCCATCAAAGACAGCTTGTTTATTTCTAGCCGCTTTGTTCTTTGACTTCAAACATTCGTTAAATACGATGATAAGAAGCCTACATTTTTCAGAAATGGTAAGTTAAAAGAGTAATGAAAACAGAAATCAACATTAAATTGGTAACTCATAACAAAACAAAGGTTTTGGAGATGCTTGTGACTTGAGACTGAGCTGTCAAGCTTTGGCGCAGCGACACATCGTGTCTTCATCATGTTGGCTTTGGGCGCCTGTTGAAATGCCTGTCATTTTGTGTGCGCGAGACTCAAACTTGAGACAAAACACTTAAAAGAAAGATAATAGTTTGTCAATTCATGTGTACCTCTCGCTGTTGAGACTATATATTTCTTCCTAGCCATTTTTTTCCTCCTCCTGCTGGTGTCTCAGTCTAAATCCAGTCCGACATCGCCTCTTCATTATGCGCTGCCTGTCACTTCCCTTGCTGGCTTTGAGGTTCCTCTCTTTTACTGGAGCTATGAGACGCTCAGAGCAGATGGTTTGAGCGTCTGGGAACAGCAGTCAAGGCAGGTTATTTAATTTACATTTTAGGTGTTTAGCTGACGTATTTATCAAGACTGTCTTGTAATAAGTGAGCAGGCAGGGTTTCAGTATCTTTCTCACTGTCAGTTACTTTCACTCATTACCTCTGACAGAGTCATGACCGCATGCTTACTGAGCCCATATTATGCTCATTTACCAGCTCATAATTTTATTTTGTGTTCTGCTAGCATACATTTACATGCTTTTATATTCAGTAACACATCAGTTTCCTGATACGGCGTATATTACACCAGAATACACTCAACAGACGCTCCATTTGAACCCTTTATCACCCGAGTATCAAACAGGCCGCTTGGACAGATTTTGTCATTTTGGCTGTAAAATTACAAAATAATTCTCATCTTTCAGAACTCATTTGAATTTTCTCTGTAACCCAAAATGGTTGTGGAGTTACAGTAATGTGAGGCATACATAGTTAAATCTGGGTGAGGCAGATTTTTCTGTCTGTGCAGACAGCTGTCCCGTGTGATTGCTTTGTGCTATCATGATGCAGTGAATATCTCTGTGTCTTTGTCTGAAACTGTTTGAATTTTGTCTATCGTCTAAACTGTAACGGTGTCACAGTCATTTAAAGAGGGCTTGTAAAAATGGGTTTGTGGGTTTTTTGTTTTAATTTTTTAAAAAAGGCTCCAATCTAACTAAGCTTAAATTGCTCTGATTGGTCAACTGGGTGAACAAATGGGACTGAGTGGTTATATCCATTAACTCCTGTCCTGTGAGTTTGTTGTTTTAGGATTATAGCTAGTAAGTATAAACAAGAGTTTAGCTGTATGAATTCGAACTGTAAGAAGACCTGGCTCAAGGAGAGACTCCCGCATTAGGCAAAACATGATGTTTTAACATTTTTAGGAATAACCTGAGTTACTAGTTCACATGTGTACTGTCAGGGAAACACTGGCTTTAAAAAAGCCAGCATGGTGAATATGATACCATGAAAACACAGTAACTCGCACCTCGTCCTTGTTTCAAATCCGTTCAATTTCTGATTGGCCATTTAAACATTTCAGCATAGTTCATCAAGGCAAAGTTATAGCTCTGCAGTGCTCAAACTCATTCTTGGGGACTTTTCTATCAAAATAACACTCCTCTGCCTTGTCCTGAGCTCCATAGATACCACGACTGAGATATTTTAGAGTTGGAGTTACTTAAAAGACTTGACTGATGTAGATTCCTGAAGGAAAACCAGCCAGTGGTTCAGAAGCAATGTTCTCTCTTTGGAAGGGCTGTGTAGCTATGCAGGCCTTTTACATGCACAAAAAAGCTGGAACACATTTGTCATTTTATGATGATATTATTATTATATTATTAAGTCCAACAATACTGCACAATTATTATATTTAAAGACCAAAGTGAATTATTATAACCATAATTACAGTAACATTAGGCCATTTACTTTTGTAGCCGTGAGATGGGGAATTAGGTTTGAGTGACACGAGCAGACAGAAAAGCTCCTGTATGCCTGACTGAACGAGGCAGGCTTTGTTGCAAATGTGTGTCAATGTACTGTAAGAACACTGAATGTGATCAATGTGTGCCCATTTCCTTCGCACAAAAGTTGATGCAAATTACTACCAGGTCTGCAAAATCTTTCGCAAATAAAAACTGTATGGCTTCAGTTAAAAGCTCTCGCATAGTTTTTAAAAAGCGATTTATAATTTGGAAACATCCCTTTTTGTTTTTCCTAGATTTTGCCAAACGCATGGGAATGCTTCACGTTTGGCTTACACATGTGGTGTTTGTTCAAAAGCTTTATGCACAACGAATTGAAATGAACACGTCTGTGCTGGAGGGATAGTTTTGATTATGCACATGTTGATTGGTTGATTTTTAGGTCTTTTTGCGTAACCCACTTTACGCACTTAAAAAGACAGCCAATTAAATTGTAAACAAAATGTTTCCAAAGGTGGTTTAATGCTACAGACAGACTTGGGGTAAGTGGTTGAAAGCATGGCGTGGCCAAATAATTGCAACCATGTGCAATAAATGTGCAGTCTCAATGCCTTTAGCTGCTTAGATCACGTCTTTGACCACTCAGTCAGTTGCCACCTGTAAAGCAATCTTGATGCATCAAAACGATGATAAAACTGCAATAAGATTGTGTCGGTCTTCTATCAGTTGGCAGTTGAAAGGAGACAAACTGGAACTTGCATGGAGTCTGTTTGTGATTTGCTGTGATAAATTAGTGAGATTGCAAATCTGCTTTTGTCTGCATACACAGAAATTCACATTAACTACTTGCATTCAGAGTCCAGCCATAACCTTATAGGCTTAAAATAGAACCAACCGTACTTTTCATAACAATATACCCAGAATACAAGCAGCTGACGACCAGATGAGTTGAGTTCCCTGTTCTAAGGAGAGCGCTCTAGGATGAGTTGTGCTCATTGGTGCACATTGAGTTAGATTCATTGACTGACTGTGATGAATTTAATTTGCATTTATAAATTAGACTGCAAATATTTGCAGACCTTTGCCAGCCTGTCTGAAAGTGATTGCAGTTGGTCCGAGCTATACTATACGCATGCTGGGCAACCAGCAATCTGTCTCTATGGCTTCCCCATATATTTTTTTTTTTTTCTCCCCTAATCACAAGAACAATATTATCCTATTTTTACTTTAGTGTGGCTGAGCAATATAAGGAGAGGAAAAGAAAAATGACCCGAAATCAGCTGGCATGTTGAAGAAAAACCAACGTGCAAAAAAGTAAGGATTTATGTAACAGTTATTATGACAAATTGGAATCTGACAACATATGAAGTAAGAAAAAATAGATTTTTATTTTACTAGCTCTTGATATAAAGGGAAAGGGAGAGTAAGGTGTAGCTTCTCATTTACTTGTTGAGCTTTCACACTAAATGGCAGATTGATGGTTAGGTTTGCAGCTTTTTATTCTTCTTTTTTCTTCTTTTTTTTTTTTTTTAATTATTTATTTTTGTCTGAGTGTGCTTGTAAAAGCAGATTCTATGTTTCCAGTACTGCCACAAATTTAGCTGCTTCCAGACCCTAAATCACAGTCGCTTGTGCTGCAGCAGTCAACTGCCAATGATAAATCAACCTCAACAGCTCTCGGTATAAATTTCCATTTCTCTAAGATTTTCTGTCCCCACCTCGAGAAACCATGAAATACGTTTTGCAAGCATGCTTAAATGCTGCGTGGCTGTCAATTTGCATTATAATATTATCATGGGCAGTCACTATATGACTCATTGGCATCTGAATAGTGCAGAAAATTAACCTTTTACATGACTTTTCCCATGTGAGGCTGCTTTAAAGGTCAAAGGTGTTTACTGTATGCTGCCCTTTCATCGCTTCCTGAAAAATGTGACTTATCCTAAACCTGAAGGGACTCCGTCTGGATGCAGTTTAATGACCATCTTGTCTATAATTTGGCACATCTGTGCCACTAAAACCCTGCACCTTCCTCCTCCTCTAAACTGTTGTGGATGCGTATAATCTCCTAAGCGGATTTTAGTGGGGGGGAGGAAAAAAGAGGTGTGTTTACTTTCACAGAGGATAGGGGTGCTACAGGTCGAGACACTAATCCTGTTCAAGGCTTGAAACGAATCACCTTTTGTTGGCTTTCAGTGTCCAAGAGCAAAATGTGGTACACTTAGTAATAAGCCACTAATAATTCCACTGACACACAATCCGTAAGTAATGTCCATCACTGACTTAATGTGTCGGTTAACAGGAACATTGGCAGCCATTTATATATTAACAAGAGTGTGGACGGCTGCATGGGGACAGACAGTCATGTGACCTCATTAGAGCACGTCCAGGCCCGGCTCACTCTGTCCTACAACCGGAGGGGAAACCTGGCAATCCACCTCATTAGTCCTGCTGGCACACGCTCCACACTGCTCCACCCCAGGTAAAGAAATGCACAACTACACAAACATGGTGATCTACAGTGCGTGCTGGTAATCATAAAATACTTCCTTACGCTCCCGCTTGTTTTCCTGCAGGCCTCATGACTACTCATCAGAGGGGTTTAATGACTGGGCTTTCATGACCACCCACTCTTGGGATGAGGACCCTACTGGGGCGTGGATGCTTGAAATTGAGAATGTGGCAGGTGCCAGTGACTATGGTAAAGCAGTTTTGTTATTACATATAGATAATATACACCAGTTACCCACATCGTTACAACCACCTGGTAAATAATCCTCCTCCTTGTGCCATCCAACTGCTCAGACTCATCGGGGCATGGACAGGGCACTTCTGGGGCCTTCCTGTTGTGTCTGGCTTCACAGTGACGGTCCTGTAGGTTGCAGTTTAGTCCCATCATGAACTGATTTTATTACTTCTAAATTTTAAAATTGCTTAATTAAAGCTGAGGTCCAAGATTGTTGGAAGCCAAGTCAACACCTTGTGCTCTTTGACATTTTCCAAGCTCTTCCTGGGCTTTTAAATTTTATCAGTAGGGCACATTGTCGTCCTCCCCCTTACATGCTGTTGGGGATGGTGCTCAAAAGGTTGAGTAAACTTGGTATGCAGCAATCATGGGTGTGTGATATGTGCCAAAGTAACATCCAGCAGAGCATGATCTGATATCGTCGTGGTGTTGTTCCCAGATCATCATACTAAATGTTGTTCCAGGATCAACATTGCAAGTGACCAATCAGAATGTTGTGATGTCATACTTTTGCGACTTTGGGAAAAAACGCCGTAAAACAAAAAACTGTACTTAAGCTGCGAGAAACCGCCTCTGTCCGCCGATCAACGGACCCTGACCCTAACCGTTTAATAAACGGTAAGCAGAATTGATATTGTCCTTGCAACATTGGAATTTCATAAATGCAGGACTGGGTTGGCGCGCAAAAGAATAACGTCACAACAATGTGATTGGTCACTTGCAATGTTGAACCTGGAACAACATTTTCATGATGATCTGGGAACAACACCAACACGACGATATCAGATCATCCTCCAGCAGAACATTATATTGTATCAAGATAATTGCTTCTCCTGGTTTAAATGTTGCGGCTGATCATTGTGCAATGATTGATTGCTTCCAGGCTTTATCTAATTTAGTATCAGTTTATCTTCCCTCTTTATCTGGAAAATGCTGATCGAAGATCCTCAGAGTCCACATTGAATGTTTTCAACAGTCTTAAACCTAAACGAGGTCACCACTAGGTCACCAGAATGACCCTGAATGACATTACTTGAGTGTTATTTAATGTAACCTTTAATCTGTTGGGCCTACAGTTCAGCTCAAGGGTTGAAGGGCTAGTGCCAAGAGATTAGAGATCAAGTGGCTTCTGTGTCCAAAGTGTTGTTGCTATTTTTATACTAGTCGACTGTATGGCTGTGCAGACTTTTTTCCTTATTGCAGGAAGGATGACAAATTCTTCAGTGTTTATGGTTGGCCGTGGATCATCACACAAAGCAGGTCCATCCACAGCACCATATTCAGCCAAAATACTTTAGAAAAAAAGATCTAGATTCAACTCTCACGCCTCCCTCCTCAGTAAGGAGTGATTTACTAAAGTGGAACCTCTCATGAGGCCCCACACTTCAATGATTTTTGAGAGATGTGCTCTTTACAACTTGTTAGGCACAGAGTGAAATCATGCTGTCTTTAAATTTGCAGCCCATATCAAGGAGTCATTTTCTGTCACTTTATGCAGAAAATCCAAGAGTCTAATAGGAGATGAGGGTACATTTACAAAAACCACCCAAGGGAGTGCTGGAGCCTTGCTGGGCTTGACAGGCCTACTTTTTTCACCCCCCCACAGTTAATTTTAGTTTTTCATCTGTCTCTCCGCCCAGGCACTCTGACCCAGTTCATCCTGGTGCTGTATGGCACCGGCTCAACAACTTCCAGCTCCTCTGAAAAGTCTCAGCCTGGCAATGACAGCTGCAAGACGTTGGATCTGAGGCAGATATGCATTGGTAAGACTGTTGTCTCTGCTTTGCTCCTCACAGGTCCTTTCAGCCACAGTAGAGGAGAAGTGTAGTGTTATGTTAAGGTGTTACACTTGAAGTAGCCCGTTCATGTGATCTCGGCTGCATCCATTTGCCTTTTGTCTGTATTTCTATGCAAACTTGTCTATGCACAACTCCATTGTGTAGCCTTATTATTTGCATAAAATTTAGTATAAGAGCTGGTTTCTGCTCAGACTTGTTTACTCCACGTCTCTTTTTAATAACCTCATTTAAAATAAAGGTAATCCTTCTGCTGTGTTCTGCCGAGTCCAACTAGTGCTATAGGCAAGGTCTAAACATGCCACTGAGCACCAAGGCAGTGTGAAGTACGTTTCCTGAAACAGTGCCAGTCTGACCCCTACAGGCTTTCAGTGATACTTGCATGCTTATAAACGGGGTGAGTGCGATGTAGTTATCATGTATGTGATTATCATGTGTTGTCATATCCATGTGTCATATGGCACTGGGTGTGCTATGTCTCAGGGCTCAAAACTATAATTCTGTTTTTGAACAAGCAGACAAGATACAGCAGGAAGCAAAAATTTCTTCCTTCTGTTGGGTCTCCTGTTTTCAGCTCTATTACCCTCACCGTTGTCTGTTAATTGTCACTACAGGCGATGGTCTGCATCTGAACTTGGTGCCTATGGAAATGTGTCTTGTTTAAGTGTGCTGCACTCAGCATAGACATGTAAAGATTTAGTAAGTGAAAGCAGCTCTAGTAAAAGTGTAAGAACAAAACAAAAAATTGCCTTGAAACAGAGAGGGCAGGCACAGCCTTGTTAGATGTGCTCTCTGTGCTTTCACAGGGCACGAATCCTGGTTCTGTTTTCTGGTTGTGTGACTCATATGAAGAGCTGAAAGGTGCCGATGTTCATTTCTATTTCTCTATGTGTTACAGAGTGCAATGCAGGCTACTACCTCTTTCAGCAGGGCTGTGTGAAAGAATGTCCAGCAGGCTTCTCGGTGGGCTCCCAGCCTCTCAACTACACAGTGGGAAACTTTATGGAACCAGCTTCCGTCCCAGCCTGCCTGCCCTGCCCACAGCCCTGCCTGACCTGCAGCAGCCTCAGCCCTCGGTCCTGTCTGTCCTGCCCCCCGCACAGCTCCCTGGACCCCAACTCTGGCACCTGCCTGCATCTTAACCAGTACATGCGCGAGTCCCCTGATAGCTTCATGGTAGGGCCAGGTAACCAGAGATCGCAGCTAGAGTCAGGCTCCCGGCTCCCCATAACCATTGCTGTGCTCAGCTGCATGGCCATCATCGCCACCTTCGCTGGCATCTTCCTGATGCTGCAGCTGCGCTCCGGCGCGCTCATCAAGTTGCCCTCTCTGGAGGCTGGCGGTGGTCTCGGGGGCACCTTCAGTCTCGGCGGAAATAGGGTGGTGTCGTACCGTGGCATCCCAACAGTGTGGGGGGAGGAAGGGGTAAATACAGACTCGGAAAACGAAGAGTTTGACGTCCAAAATGAGAGGACTGCCTTTATCAAAACACAAAGTGCTCTTTAATGCCTCCTCCACGTCCCTCCCTCTCTCCTGCTTTTAAAATCCTCACACCACCATTTGTCTGATAATTCAGGGCTGTGGTGACTGTCTCCTCTCACAGTCTTTTTCTGGTTTAATCTCCAGTTCATTTTCTTTTTCTGTCCTATCGGATTCTCATCTGAGTTCTGTTTCGGGATCTGGTCGCTCCGCTGTGCTGTGGGAGACCTGATGGGAAGCTGTTGTCTCTCAGAGCTCGGGATGGCCTGAGCTTTGCTCTGTTCACACTTGGGCGCTTTTCTATTAAACTGGCTCTCTCCCTCCCCTTGCCCTCAATCACTAACAGTGTCTGTCTGTGCAGAGTCCATTTTCCCCTCCAGCTCCTTTTTGTTACAGTAAACAAATGATTATTATTTGCTTTCTTCCTCTTTTTTTTCTCCTCCCACTGTGTCGTTTAGTCTCAGTGCAGTAGCCAGATGAGATTGCGTGTATGTGTGTGTCTGTGCATGTATGCGTGTGCATCTCTAAATCATTGTGTGAATGTGAGCGTGTAAATCTAATGAACAGTGAACAGTGCAGAGAAGCTTAAGCGGGTCCTGTCATATTTAGTGCTTTAACTAAAACGTCATGGCCAAAAATTGTATTATGAACCATGAAATCCAATTTGAAAATATTTATTCTCTCTGAAGTGTCATTTAATGACCTCGCTGTCTATAATCTGTTGACAAATACAATGCTCTCAAGTTATTTACATTTTTAAAGTGCATTTTCAAGATCAAACAAATCTAAAGTGTAGCAGTTGATGAGAAAATATCCAGACTTCAATGGTTTATAATCCATCAGCAGTCAGACGTACAAAGCAGACCTTTCAGGATATGCCATCTCTGCAGTGTCTCTCTCTATGACATGACAATTGCAGTATCTACTGAAGATACAATTCTTATTTCATGCAGTCACTTTTAAGCCAGTACAGTTATTGTTCCTGTTATGTGAAAAGGTTTCTCCCAGCTCTGAAAGAACAAACTGTGAGTCATTCAGCGAGCAAAGCCTCCTTCAGCCTTTTGGGATTCCAGCTGAACTTATTCCTGTTTTGGAAGCTATAAATTCTCCTGTGCTCGTAACCTCCCCCAACCATTACATGGAAGGGTATCAAAACAAAAAAGTAAAAGGAAATTATAAGAAAACAAAACACACACGCGCACACACACACAGACACAAACTTGCAGGCTATTCAATCAACCCTGAGGCATAATCCCTGCCAGGGATATTTAATTTCTGTGTCTTAAGTGCTTACATCCTGGGGCTGTGGGAGAAGATGCAGGGCTGCTTAGAGAACCCAAAACAATGTGTGACTTGAGCGCAAAAGCTTCTCAAAGCAGCTGGAAGGTGTTGACTGACTTGTGACTGATTTCTTGACAGAGCTGTAACAATATACCAGCTCTCCTCTCATCACATCAGCACTACAAACACACCGCATATCTTAACGAGTGAAAGTTGCTTTGCGTGTGGGAGAGTGCGAGTGAGTGTTAGTTTATTGCATATGAGGTTCAGGAATGTTTATCTGCCCTCTGAAGTGAAGATTTCCTTCCTCCATCCTTCCAGTCTCTGCTTTCTTCTTCAAATTTCCGATATTGTTTAAAAATCCTGCAGCGAGACTCCATGTCTCATCAGCATCTCTGCACTTACCCTCCAGTCTGCATCTAATCTGAATTTCAGATGATGTCTTTAGTGTACTTGCCAATTAATTATATTCTGAATAATACTGCAGCAAACTATTTATTCTGAGAGATTTTATTCATTCCTTTAGGGAAAATTGCTTTAAGTTTTTTTCTTTTCTTCTTCTTCGTCCCCCTCCTCCTCCTTCTTCTTCTTTCCCTCCCTGGCTGGTCATCATCTGAAATTTGCATCTCATTATTTAATCCAATGTAGCCATTTTGATTCCAGTGATTTTTTTTTTGTTATGTTGAAATTATGATTTTCAAAATCAGTGGAGCTTGCTGAGAGAGGTTGTCATGGTGATGACATGCATTGGCGACTGCAGCTGCTCGTCCTTTTATCTACCTCTCATATCATTCAGCAAGGTTTCGTACGCCGTTTTGAGGAGCTGATAAATGATCATAGAGGTCAGATTATATGTAGGTTAGATATGAAATCGCTTCTGGGAAATGGTAATTTAAATTAAGGACTGTAGGTTTGTATGTCACATTTATATTTTAGAGGAGAAACAAACAATTGCAATTCAGAAACTGTAAAGCTGCTGTGTAAATTTTACTCCCCTGGAACTCCTATCTGTCCTAAAAATTTATTGCCTTTAGGATCAGCATTCATGTGCAGACACACCTGGGTGTTAAAGCCTCTTACTCAAAGAGGCTGGGTAGGAGAATTCCTCTTACATCTTGTTGGCCAGCATTTAAGTGCTAAATCAACCTGAGATTGCTGGGGGCGTTTGTTTTCTTCATCTTTACCCAGGCATCTCCTCCTGGGGTTTCAGACCTTATTTTATTCTTTTTAAGTTTCTGTCACTGACAATCAATTCCTTTGTTTGTTTGTTTTCTTTTGGGGTGGGAGGGGGGCAAGGTGCAGAAGCACACAAACAAATGGATTTTAACTTTTAATTTAACCGCCTCACTAGAAAGGCCTCCACAGAAAATGTTATTCACTGTATGCAGATCATTTAAATTGCAGATTTAGAAATCAAGTCTTATTTGGAAAAAAGAAATTCTCCAAAGGCAAAAGAATAAAGATTTTGATTACCAATACCTGCCAAAAATACTCTTACAAAGAATGGAGGAAGATTGGTATGCATGCTTTCAAACACAGTGCTCAGCCAGGAAGCGTAATTCATCTCGAATGGCTGGTGCAGGTGTAACACATTTGGCTTACTGTGGCCGCTTCTGGATCAGAAGCCAAACTGAAAATGAGGATTTGGAGAAAATGCCCCCAAAAGGAACAAAGCTAATGTGGCAGACTTGTTCTGCAGGGGTCTGTGGGTTGTACATTAGTGCCTACTGCCATTTAGGCTTTGATTAGTTCCACTTTGAGGAGGGTGCTAATTTAAAAATGTAATAACTCCAGCTTCAGACTTGAGCCACCAAATCTTATTGACTTCCCAGCATGCTGTGAAGTGTATAAACAACAGATAATGGGCTAATGCAGAAACAAAATTGCTTCCATAAACCGTTTTTCTTAAACTCTGGATGCATCTTTTGAAGAGGTATAACATGGGATTCAACCAATGCGTTCCAATTACTGTGGGCTAATTGATTCCTGGTCTAGTCAAGATTATGCGCTGTGCATTTTCCTTTGGACTTGTATTGCTTCCAGGAAGAGTGGTTTTGTTTTTTCTTCTTAAAAATCCAACACTGCTGGGTGTTCAGACAGGTTTCTGTGGCCCCTCAAGTGCGCACACGAAATGATTTATTCATCTTGGCTAATGTTGTATTCACTGCAGCTTGAAAACTTAAAAGTAATTTTAAAAAAAAAGTAAAAATAAAAAATACTTTAATCAGATGATCTCAAAGTGCTGCGCAATCGGGTGTTAAACTTGGGAAATCCATGAATGCAGGCAGAATTAAGTAGCTTCTGCTTCCGAAGCGCCGGAGCTGCAGAAAACCATCAGCAGCCAGCTGATTCTTTTAACGGTGAGAATACGATAAAAAAAAACACAAAAAAAACCCCACACACTAAAATAAGACGAGTGCCAGAAAGCAGCTCGTAGCTTAAAAGCTCTACCACTTTACTGGCAGCGCCAACGTGTGGAGCTCTTAAATGTAGAAGGAAAAAAGCACTGCATGTCGCAAAACATCTGCCCTGGTTATAAAGAGAAGACTCCCTCATTGCTGCCATGAAGGCTCGTCTTTACATCGCTGATTTAAGTCATGTGGAGCTCGACGTTGCTCCCGTCCTGCTTTAGGATGTAGTCTAACGTGAGATTAATATGAAGTTGGATGAAGTTAATAGGAGCAATATCTTTGGCATAACCAAAGACAATCATTTTAATGCTGTTTAGTATGAATATGTGTTGCTTTCAGGTTGTCACAGTCCATCGACCCTTCGCTTGTGTTCAGAGTGTTTTTATTGAAACCATTCAGTCACCTCTGCCTTTTTTCTTTTTTCTTTTTGTTGTCGTTTTTGACGATCTGCGACGACACCTTGTATGTTCAGCAGCTGCGGAGGGAGGAGGTAGAATGTATCCCATCGCCATTAACTTAAGGGCTGAATCAGACCTGAGTGCGTCCGTGTGTGCACACGCGTGTTAAAGTAGAAAGGAAACACTTTGTGATGGAGGAGCGGTCAGTGGAGCAGCCTCAGTCAACTCCGTTGACCTCCTCCCGCCTCTTCTTGAGGTTCCTGACCTGTGGCTGCACACAGTACCTTACAGATACGTGTGACCTATGGTAATGTACAAGAATGAATATCCTACATGGGACATAACTCTAAAATAAGGCCTATTTTTGTACTATATGAAAGGTGCAGTGTAATTTTCTTGTAATTTAAGGATTTTTTTTTTTTTGCTCTTGTTTTCTCCTTTTTATTTAATTGATGTCAATTATAGATTCTACTAAAAATAAAGATCTATGCAAATTTGAATGTGTTTTTCTTTTACTTAAATGGTTCTTAAATGATTGAAACTTGATGCTGTTGTTGGTTAATGAATGCGAGAAGCACAGAGATGGTAGACAGTTTAATGGTACATAAAATAGTTTCAAGAAAATATCCTACATTAAAGTATTTTTAAATGAAAGTACTGAAGTATGAGCATTACATGTGGTTAAATGTCGGGGGTAAAAGCATCCTGCAGAAACTTTTATGCTATTTTAGCATCATGGATTTATGATAATAATATGTAAGGCTATTCCTACTGAGCTTGTAACAAGATCTAAATGCCAGGTGTGACGACAAAGTTCAGTGACTCCGCCCACTTATTTATAAATCTAAAAATGGCTGATTTGAAGCTTTGATTACCTCGTAAAGGTCATCTCCTCCTGCGCCGGAAACTGGCAGAGCTGCAAGATCACAGAGGAGGTTCTCGGAGTGATGAGACAAGCCGATGGTTTGTAATGGAGCCGATCATTAGCATTGTATCATCAGTGAGTGCAGTACTGTAAAATAACAATTTTGTGCTAATTTGTAGTTTTACTAAGCGAACGTGCTAAACAAACCTAATCGGACACTGTATTAGGTACAGCCTGCTAGTGCCGTATTGTGCGCTTGTCCTCAGAGCTGTTTTTATTCACAGCATAGATTCAAAAGGGGTGCTGGAAACATGCCTCAGAGACTTGTTTCCATGATGACGTGATGGTATCAGTCAGCTGCTGCAGATATGTCAGTTTGCACATCCATTATGAGAATCTCCTCTTTCTCCACATTCCAAGGATGCTCAGTTGAATTGACTGTGTAGGCCTTTTGGGTACCGTGATCTCGGTGTTATGTTTAAAAATAGCAGTCTGGGATGGTTTGAAGTTTGAAACACAGCGCGCTATCCTGCAGGAAGGATCCATCAGAGGATGTGTGCACTGTGGGCATAAAGGGATGACTGCCAACAATCCTCAGGTAGGCTGTGGTGTTTAAATGATGCTCAGGTGGTAACAAAAGATTCAAACTGTACCAAGAAATTATTCCCCACACCATCAGCAGCCCGAACCACTGATATGAAGAGGGATGGATCAGTGCTTTCATGCTGTTTGTCAAATTCTGACCCTACCAATTTCAGCTTTATTTGTCATATGTAAGTTAGCAAAGAGTCAACATTTTCAATGAAATGTGTTTAACCAAGTGCGGTATCATGAGAAAGCTCGCAGTTAAGCAGTTCTCAGATTACTATATGAATGTTGCAACCAAAATTGAGACTTTATCAGATCAGTCGTCGTCTTCTGTCCACTTTTGGTGAATCTGCATGAATTGTAGCCTCAGTTTCCTGTTCTTAGCTGACATCTGGAGCACCCAGTACAATGTTCTGCTTCAAGGTTCAACGTGTTTTGCATTCAGATTCAGAGATGCTCTTCTGCATACCTCGGTTCTGATGAGTGGTCATCCTTTAATTCTTCTTGACCGCTGGTATCAACAAGGCATTTTTGATCCAGATAACTGTCGCTTAATGGTTATTTAATCTATTTCACACTATTCTATTGTGTGAGGTTGTGATATAGTAATATTCATGTTGGTTGTAGGCCACTATGGCCATCACCATGTTATTGTGTCAGAGCCTGAGGGATCTTACTTGGACTAGCTGGAAAGCTACATCTGAAAATTTCATTGGTGGAATACACAGACGATTTATAATGGTAAAGAAACACAGTACTGGGAAATGTGACTGACGGGGCGAAGATGAAATTGCAGTACTGTACATGTTTTCTTGCACTGTCAGAAATATGTGGCTGAGAGAAGGGCAACTGATTCAAACCTTCACTAAGTAATGAGTATGGAAGTTAAACTGTTATTGATCTACTAGAAAAGGAATTGAAGCAAAAGCTACCAGGCCAGATTACATTTTCTGTTTGTGTGAGGAAGGGCATGGTGGAAAAATGATAATAATGCCGAATTAACTATGTGATGACACCTCGTGAATGAGTGAGCTGCTTAAAGTAGCTTTCTGGTTCACACTCCATACCAGTTGGTGGCGATAATGTACCATGGGGCATATGTGGGGCACCCCACATCTTTGAGGTTGCCTTAACTCAGGTGGTGGAGCAGGCCATCAGCTAATTGGAAGTTTAATGGTTAGATCCCTCCAGTTTGTATGCCAAATGTCCTAGCAGGATACTAACCCCAAGTTGCTCTCTGATGCATCTGTAGAAGTATGAATGTGTGTGTGCATGTTATATAGGAAGAGAATAGAAAAAAAAAAAAGTGTGAATGAGTTGCATAAAGTGCTATGAGCGCTGAGTAGAAAAGCGCTATATATGAACCATTTACACCTAAGGTAAGGGCATAGTTTGGGCAGCTGTGGGCCCAGAGTATGCCCATATTTGGCTCTGCTTACTGTAGGTTTTCAGTTTTGGAGCTAGTCTGTAGTCGTTTTCATTATTCAGCGTTCTTTGTATGGTAAGCAAATTATGTCCAGACAGCACAAAACTGTTAACTCTCTCTCAGCCACACCACAACACAGAGAAGAAACAGTAAACCGCTCTCACTGAGAAATAAACTGCTGATGTAAAAACAACGCACGTAAAGATTTGACACTATAAAATGCCACGGTTTAACCCCCCCACCCCCCCACCCCAAAAAAACATTCAAAGTAGGTATCAGGATCGTGCTAAATGGTTTTGCAGTTTAAGTGTCAAAACTCTTTTGTTGCACTTCTGCGTTTTTCTTTTGTCAGAGTTGCAACGTTCAGAATCCGAGTCAATGTACTTTCCATCCCTTCAACAGCTTTCATTTAAAGTAACTCACAAGTACAGCATTACAACATGATATAAAGTCTGCTGCAGAAGTGGCAGCATGAGGTGACATTAGGACATCAAACATGAAGAGTAGTCTCTAACTAAGAGCGTGGTCTGCAGCTCTTTGTTGACTCTGTAACTAAACATAAAAGCTGACATTTCCTCTGTGGTCTGTACAACCAACTCTGAGCAGAGCTCCATTTTTGTGTGTGTGTGTGTGTGTGTGTGTATGTTTGTGTCCCTTTGTCTTCCCTGCAGCCTGTATAATGAGTGTATCTGATGATGTATGGCCAGAATAATTACCCCAATGAATTTACAGCACAGTGGTTGCACCAGACACCAACCAAGTCATAAATGAAAGTAATGACGTGAGACTGGCTTCATACTGTGGTGTTAAAAAACAAGAGGAGTATTTGCATTATATGCAACAGGCACCCTCCGCGTTTACAGTCTGGTGTTGTTTAAAACTATTCTTCTAAAAAACAATAATGGTTACAAGACACCACCACTATAAACTTTTCTCAGTCTTTGCGGCAGTGCATTACTTCACCAGTAACCCTGTACTTTCCTGCATCATGCCGTTAGCTGCTTGTGGGGAAGTATGAAGCCACAATACTTCGGTCAGCTGCTCACACACAAGCAAGACAATAAGCCAAAAATCCATTGAAAGTATTGTGAAAATCCGAGACGTATTTCAGAAAGTATTAATGTCGAGCAGTAGCTTGTTGGAGCTGGGCAGCAGTTTGGTTGGTGCAGATCATTCATGTCTATGTTTCACTGAGGTTCGAGTGTTTTTACATTTCTGGTTTTGCAACTTGTCACATGTTCAGATCCATGTCAGGAGCTTATGATAATTAAAAAAACTATATGTGTGAAGCTTATAATTCACCCTAAGCTTTCTGCCCCAGAACACAGGGTTTTTGGGGGGTTTTTTTTGTTATAATGTTCTGTTAGCAGCTTTTTTTTGTTTTTGTTTTTTTCTTCCTGAGGCTCTCTACCTGATATTGTTATTGTGCCTGTGGGTCAGTCTCACTCTTCGGGAATCTGTTAAGCCTGGAGATTATTGGAAAACACTGCATCTCTCTTACCCTGATAGTTGTTGTCCCTCTGCCACAGGACTATCCAAACTGTGTGTTTATCCTTTTCCTCTCCCTCCCTGTGCTCTGTGTTTACACTTTCATTGGATCATTGAATGTCCTGGGACCTTTCTCTTTCCCCAGGTTATTGGTGCCTCATTCCACATGCTTCGAATCAGATTTTTATTTATTTTTTGTATTTATTCTGAGCCCCTCTGTTCTTACCCTCCTGTGTGCATTTTGTTGGCATATCTTTCTCTATGCTGTTTTTTTGTTGTTGTAAAAAGTCTTTCTTTCTCAGCTCTTTTTTTGGTTTTAGTGCAGGAGGTAAAGTTTTGTGGCCCAGATCTTTGATTTGCTTGATCATCTTAACACTAGAAGTGTAGTATTTTATTAAAACATAAGTGGCCTTCAAGGCCTCTTGAAACACATTCAAAGCTCTTCTTTGGATATTGGCTGCCTTTTGTTCTGTTCTCTATCAAGATGATCCCACACTGTTTCAATAATGTTCATGTTCTGGGGAGGCCAATCCATGAAAGTATTCCAGTGTGTGTGTTTTTGTTTTTTCTATTGAGGTATGCTTTTACTGTGTTGTGCGTGTGCGTGCACCTAGCCACTTACTGATGTAGCTGTTTGCCAGGCCATGCATCCTGCTGACTCCTGAAAAGGAAATTTTGCAGACCTTTATTGTCCACATGACCTGTTTGTATAGGGTGTGCTGCTAGCACCACACCTTCTATTTTCCGTGGGGTAGTGCCTTCCCAGGTTTTGCAGTGGTTTTTCATCCAGGCGGGGAATGGGCTCCTCTCCTGCAACAAAGATGTTCCCTGCATGCAGTATGCCTTTCCTTCTTGATAGGCTTCTTGACTTTCCTGCCTTGACTGTCATGCTCGCCCAAGCAAGAAGCTCATGCAGAAGTCATGCATAGTGCTGTCTGAATGATGCTTGCCACATCATCCATATAGCTCCGTAGTGGTGGAACCCTCCACCTGATGGTAACTTGATGCCTCTGTCTGCCTGGCCCCTGAGAATTACCTCAAAGGCTACTACAAATAGGATGGGGAAGATGGCGCATCTCATAACTTTTCCACATTCTAGTTCTTGGCATCCAGTCATGAAGCCCTCCAGAGTTGAGCACATGTGCAGGTTACTGAAGTATTTGGTGATTATATGTTGCACACAACACAGGATATGTAAGAACCCCAGTGCAAAGTCTAAGGGTCTCCGCGATACTGAGCCACACGCATTGGTGGTGAGATCTAACTACGCCAGATGCAAGTTGCTCTTCTCTCTCAGCAGGATCTTGTTCCAAATCAGAGAGGAGTGCTTAGTGGACATAGGAAAGCCTGGGATTCCCACATTCTGGCAGCTTGTATCAACATATCCATTCACCATGATGAAGTCAGTCTCCTTGTTAGGATGGAGAAAAAAACCTTCCTCTTTACGTTCAGCAAGGCGATGCTTCTGAACTGACTGATGGTCTGAAGGCTTTGTTCTTGGGAATGAACACGCCGACAATTTATTATCCTTCTGATGGGACCGGTTGTTTCCTCCAAGCTGTTTTCATCCGCTTCGACAGTGCCCTGAGCACCTGCAGGCAGTTCTTAAAGAACTTGTGGGGAACCCCGTTCATCTTTACTATTTGTTGTAAATTCAGCTAAATGGGAACCGAGTGATGTGTTTCTTGTCAAGGTGCTAGATATAAATTGCTTAACCCTTTCATGCATGAATTATGACAACCACAATCAGGAGTTTTTCTTAAGTATATTTATTTATCTTTAGGCATGAAAAAAAGATTTTTGAACTTCATTTTTTTAAACATGTACTTCTCAACGAGTTTTTTACATGTCCACTTAAGCAGACAACTTATGTGTATGGAGTGACACATCAGTGTCAAATGTAGTGGTTTATGTGCAAATATACCATCAACACTGACACAAATACAAGAATACAGCCTTTGAATAGCTGTCCACTGTAGTGACCACTATGTGCGAAAGAGTTATGTTTAAAATTGGGTCTTTGCTAAGTTGTCTCTTATCTTTAAACACAACATCGATTCACCACTTGAGTCAGGTTTCTTTTTAAATACCTGCACGATGAGTAGGTCGGTATAAAGCAGCTTAACAAAACACATTAACAAAAAATAACAGGACTGTACTGAAGATGAGTGAAAGAGCAACTGATGTCCAAAGAAAAACTTTAAAAGACCTTTAGAAAGGCTGGAGAAATTATGTTTCAGACCAAACTATAGGAAAATCTGACTCTTTGGAAGCATAATATAAAGAAATAATGAGTGCCTTTCATAGTACTAGACCTGCTGGTACTGATTATCTTAGTAACAATTTCATTATGACCTGTAAAAAAGTCTTTCAATTCACTTTTTCAGTAGTGGGCCTTTGCTTATTTTAAGCCAGTAAGGCCCTCTAGGGTAAAAAAAGTGGTGCTCTGAACACAAGACATAAAATGCCATGTCTGTCTGACCTGGAACAGAGACTCATCTTCTATTGCACTTCGATTTTATGTGTATTTGAAAACTAAAAACATGGGGATACTACTACTACTAGTAGTAGTAGTTAAGAAGTTATTTTAAAGTAGTAATTCGTGGAATCATTCTGTTCTGTAATGTTATTAGAATAGGAATTAATAATTCAAGTAATACAATAAAAGCAGAGAAGTGAAAAGCACTTCTGTGTGTATAGATGTACAGAATTATCTGTAAACCATACTGAGCAATATGCGGTGGTGTTGCTCTGCTGCACTGAGGCACAGATAAGCAGTGGTCCCAGTTTAACATGCAGATAAGACACAGCTCAGTGCGAGCTCAGTGGTCTCTCTCAGGCTGCATTCAGCCTCTACGCGACTGTTTGGTTTTTGCATTTAATTAGATTTTTTAAAAACACATAATTATATAAGTGCTTTAGTGATGATATTATTTAGAAATAATTCAAGCTTAATGATCATTGCACCTCTTAAGGTCCTCAGAAATTGAAAGCAAAATGACAGTAACCGCATTCAAAGACACATGAGGAAGTGCCGCTTCACACAAACCTCTGTTGCTCACAGGGAAGTGAAACTCCTCGATGGTCACATTGAAATGAATACACTTGGTCATTAGCAGCTGCTACGGATTGCTGCTCCGCTCCTGCGTCTCTCACGAGAATTCCAATGTGCTGTAGGATTTACTGCTAACAACAATTCATTGCCAGGAGGAAAGCGTAATTATCCAGAGATGGGTTTTGGAGAGGACCTGAGGTGTCCACAGGCACATGCAGCAGTGTTGCGACTGCTGGACTCAGAGCTTCTCTTGATGGAAGTCATGAAGAAGTGGATGGGGCAGCGAGCGAAGAGCGAACGGGAATTTTCAGTGCAGCTGCACCACATGACTGGCCTGGCTGAGAAGCTGGACCGACCTCAGGCTAACACAGGACTGGACTACATCAGTCAGCTCAACAAGGTGAGGCCTTGCATATCGCACTGCGCCTGAAGCTTTAGATTTACCTCATCACCTGTCGTTCAGGTGGGAGAATGCCACTGCGCAATAGACTCATTCATTCAGTGCATTTAAAATTAATCTTCTAATTTGATGCACATTTAGATTTTTCCCCCCCAAAAAAGGGTTTGCTTCACTCATGCGTCATCAAGTGTTCAATGAGCAAAGTAAAAGAAAAACAGTAATATTAGCTGAGGAAATAAAATACAGAAGTTAGCACATGAATCTAAAACTGTCTTGTGTAGATCTAGAATGCCTCAAATAACCTCACATGACATACTCTAAAAGTAACTCCAGCGACTGCTGAGATCCCATTAGTGTTTAAAATAAGTACAAAGTATATCTGAATGGCATAGCAATGTCTCAACTAAATCTACAAAAGCTTGGTTTGCTTAGTTTCTTTGAAATATTGAAAGCTGACCTACACTTTGTCAAATTAAATGTGTTCTCAAATCAAATCGAGTAAGCACGTCTTTGATTGGCTCATCTGCACACATTGTGAAAACATTTAAAGAACCTACAACCGTGAAATGTGCTGCTGATGCGCTCGAAACTAGTTTTATTTCTGCATCTCAAAGTTTTTTTAAATAATAATTTGGTGGCTTTACCCACCAATAACCATTGCTTATTTGTACTGAATATATTTAGTAGCCTTTATTTTGGTAGAACACTGTGGAGAAGACAGGAGAGCTAGGAGAAAGACCAGGGGAAGTAAACGGCCTCATGATGGATTCAAACCCAAGTCTCTGTAGTATGAAATACCCAGTGAGCTGTATCTGTGTCCAGCATGACTTCATGCATTTTTTTAAATCAGTTCCAACTAAGGAACAAATGAGCAAGTCTGGCTCCAAAAGCTGGTTACCAACATGTCAGGTAGTCACGGATTGTTTAGTGAGTTCCATTTATCGGTTTTCTCTTTATGTCCCCACGATGTGTCCCGCTGACTTCTGCCTCTGTCTGTCAGTCCTGGGGAGTGCTGGTCTCACAGACCGAGTCTCTCAGTCAGCTGATGAAAAAGCGCTCTGAAGATCTGCTGGACGGTCCAATCAGCAAACTCACGTTGCTCATCAGAGACAAACAGCAGCTCCGCAAAACGTACGCAGAGCAGTGGAACCTGCTGAGGCAGGAGCTCAACAAGGTGTGTGATTAACACGTGTACACACACACACACACCCATTACTTCAAAAGACATCATTCACACTGGCCTATATTCAGCTTTCGAAGACTTGAACCAGAACAATGACTTGTTGGGACTTCTTTAATTTCCCCGCAGCTTAAGCAATAAACTACACACATATACCACAAGCTAAAATATCTAGCTACTTTCAGTCCTGTCATGAGGCAGATTAAACTACTTTTGTACAGTTATACCTCTAATTATGGGGAAAAAAGCAAGGTGGTTTATTTCTGTGTTAATTTTCACAGCTGTTGCTCTCTAAATGTCCCTTTGTTTTACAGTTTTGCACACTTTTATCCCCACGAATTGAATAAAATAAATAAATAAAGGCGGAACTATATGAATGTTTATTATCAGTGGAAAATAATCTTGGTGCAGGTAAGTGACTACACTTACCTGTTCTACAGCTTTTTGGTCTCTAAAATTAAATATCACTTTGTGTTTACGTGCTTTTTTTGAAAAACAAAACAAAACAAACTTTGTCTAGTATGCAAAGACATATCTTCAGCTGGTACAAATTTGTTTTGCAGCCGCTCACGGCCGTTTGAAACAGCACGGCGTACGGCAGGGTCTTCAGGAATTTGCTGAGATAATTGCTGCCTGCTTCTTTTTGTCACTGTGCTCATATCTAAATTGAAAGCAAACACACTAAATTACTTTTTACGAGAACAAAAAAGCAGTCAGAGCGCTAGAATGTTTACATATCCCACAGCACTCATGCAAAACCAGACGTTGGTAGTTGGAAATGTTTGTCTCGTTTTTCCTCATATGTCAACTTGACTTGCAGATGAGTGCTGTGATGGCAGCTTATAAATAGACAGCAGTCAAATGATATGAGATTCAATAGACTGGAAAGAGTGTCTGTAAATGCATTTTGATGCCATCTCATACTGGTAGCTGCCTCACACTGGGTTTTATTACCCAATTACATCAGGCAAATGATGTGTTCATTTTAGTGCAGTTTGAACGCCTGTCTGGTTGTTTGTTTAGTTTAATTTTCCTCCTTTGCTGTGCAGAAAAAGCCCGGTCAGCCTTTGAACCGTTTACATCACCGTGCAGTCACACTAGCGAGAGATTATTTTATATCACGACTGAAACAACGGCGACAGTGAATTTGATTGTATCTGTGATGTTGGTTTGTGTTGGTTTGATTTATTTTTTTGTCGCCAGCCACACAACAAAGGTCAGATCGTTTCCTTATGCTTTTCTCATGTTTTATGTTACTAGTAAAACCTAACACAACAGCAGTCCACTTCCTGTGCTAAATAGTACTGACAGCTTTTCAACCTTAAAGAAACTCGACTTGACACCCATCACACCCACGGCCCTTAAGTTATGTGTTTGTAAAAGATGTTTTATTTTTGTTTTTTAAACCGCTTAAAAATTCTTGGTTTTGTGTCTGTTAGGCACATCGGTAAATGTAGGCGAGTGCTTAGTATCAAGTAAAGCAACAGAAAACTTTAAAAGCAAACTGTTTCAGCTGGTTTTCCTCTGAAAAACAGTTGATTGTAGTTCCGTCTCTCTCTATAACACCTCCAACCATGAATCATTTAGTAAAATCTGTTTTTTAGACCTGCTGCTGTTAAATCTGTGTAATGTACAAGTTCTTTCCATAACTACAGTGACGACACACAGCTTTGTTGGCAGTTACAGGTCCTGACAGGTGAAAAATTCATTTCCTGCTTTGGTGTGTTTTAGATGCTATCATCGCTATAAGGCTGACAATAAAGCGGGGCTATTTCTCTCTGCTACGCTACTCCTGCCTACTGGTCGACAGGTTAGAGGAGCAAGCTTGATGCCCTCTAATTAGATGAGTCATAGAAAAAAAAAAACAAGATGTTATAAATAAATCATAATTGATGCAGAACTCAGCCAACGGAGAACTAAAACAAGGAAGCTAGTTACTGGCATTTTAAAGTCCTTAAACGGGTTGTCTGTAAGCCTGTGTGCTTATTGTAAATTCTTCCTCCCTGCAGTCCCTCCTTCTTGGTTCAGGATTTGTTGGCTTCTTTCCTGTTGCATCAGATTTGGAAGAGCTGCGTTTGGGAAATTGTAGAATAGAGTCGGTATCATCAGTGTAACTGAATGGTTGTTTGATTGCTGCTGTCTACCGTCTTATTAAAAAATGTCATTTTTTTTCTGCAAAAATATTTTTGGTCCACACTTTTCAAAAAGGTCAAAAATGAGCCATGACCTTTCGGTTTTGCTGTTTTTTTTATTGAGTACATTGGGTTTTTCTTCTTTCAGGTCAAATAGTTTAGGGCGAACTATATATGAGGCGGTTTTAACTTTTCATGCCCTGTTTTTTAATTGCCAACACAAAGCCTACGTTATTAGCGTTTTATCACTGTGTTCAAAATGTAAAATGCTGGGTTTTTTTTATGGATTGCTTCAGGTGACACAGACAGAACTGGAGAGGCTAAAGAGCAGCTACAGGCACGCAGTGAAAGATGCAACTCAGGCAAAGAGGAAGTACCAGGAGACCAGCAAAGGTGGGGATTTCTGGTATCACTTATGTTTCTGAATAGAATCGGTTTCATGTTGATGTCACGGTCTGTTTTTTTTTTTTTTGTTTGTTTTCTGCTTTCCTGTGTTTAGTCTGATATGTGTATTTCTATCGTGACCTATATTCTGTGATCATTTTCTGTACTGTGCTTGTGTGCCTGTGCGTGTCTGCAGAAAAAGACCGAGATAAGGCCAAAGAGCGTTACATAAAGGCTTCACTGAAACTCTACGAGGTCCATAATGAGTATGTCCTCTCCGTGCAAGCTGCTCAAGTTTACCATCAGCACCATTACAGTCAGATCCAGCCGGCCCTGCTCAGCGCCCTGCAGACTCTGCAGCAGGAGATGGTGCTCATACTGTAAGATCACACTCGCTGCGTGGATGTTTGGAAGAAAAACAGACACATTAAGAATGACAAGAAGCATTTCTGTACAGTGCTCATATTTACCGGTGCGTCCCTGCGAATCATCTCGGTGTTTTATTTCTGCTCGTCGTCACTCAGATACACATTTGATTGTGGCACGGCACGAATGTTTGCCAATTAATTTCAAATCTTGATAACACTCCACTGCTGCCATCAACAAGCATATCCCACAATCTACAGCAGCAGAACAAATGTTCTAATTACCATATGTGTAACTACAGTACTGTGCAAATGTTTTGAGTCACCACTCACGTCTTTCTATTTTGCTTCAGAGGAGCCAGACGCTTTAAATCGGTCTTGAGCAGTAGTTCTCCAGACTTTCCAAAGGTCATTCAATGTTTTTCTTCAGAAATTGGCTGCTTTTTCACTTCAGTCTAGTTTTTGTGCCAGACCAATTTTTTTGTTTGTTAGGCTGCTTAACAGCGACTTTTTCAAGCATTAAAAAACCTAACTCAAGGAATGAACCAGTGCTGTGTCTACACATCACAGACAATGTTAAATTCTGGGAATTTAGGTAATTAATTTCAATTTCATAGTTAAATCTGTGGACACCGTGTGTCCTGCGCTCGGCGTCAGCTGTCCTAGTATGTGCTGAGGTCATTGATCCACTTCTGGACCTAGAGAAAATGTCCCCCTGCCGCTTTGTGTCTGCAAACCAAGACAGATATTTTTTGCAGTTTTATTATTGTGGTACATTTTTCTGTGTGTAGCCTGTGTGTGTATAAGTGTGGTTTAAAGTAGCTCTGAGGTGCATGGAAACTGACGGAGTTGTTTGCCCGTCCAGTTTATACATTGTGGTGTCGACTGGCGTGTCAGGCCTTAAAAACAATTTCCTGCAGATGAACAGAAATAGGAAAAAAACTCCACTTTTCAGCCACTGGTGTTGAAGATCTTGTCAAAATTGATGAAATTATTAACGCTGAAAGGCACTGTCAGATTTTCATCCACTATGCATCACCATCTGGAAAGCATCTGATTGGCAGTGGCCTCATTTGATATAACACTGCAGTAAAAACATGCCTGAATGGAAGAACACACACGCTGGAACTCCATGAGTCATGGACCGGCCTCCCCAGAGCCCGGACCGAATCATTAGTGAAGCAGCGTGGGATCATCTTGACAGAGAACAAAACACATATTTCCTTTTTTTTCCCCAGCAAAATGTAAAAAAAATGAGAGGTGATTCAAGAGTTTTGCAGAGTACTGCCTGTGTTTTCATTATGAACAAAAGCCTTTTCTGTGCAAACATTACCTACAAAGGCTTGACAGCTTTGAACACTACATGAATGTCTGAGTTTCAAAGCAGAGAGAAGAGTTCTGGGAGTTTAGACAATTAAAGGGTCTGAAAGGGTAAATCATAAAAGTCAAAGACAGAAACAAGCAGTCAAACCAGTAAAATGGATTGGCTGACTTTGGGGGCTCTGGGCAGGAAATGTTTGGCAGAGCTGACAGATCCAGTCTCTGTCTAACGGCTGAGGCTGAAAAACAGGCACTGCTCTCACTTTTATTATATTCTAAACAGGGAATAACAACATAAATATGACAGAGAAAGTGACGTGATGGGATACTTAACCGCAGACAAATCTCTCAAAGGACATTTTCACATCACTAATATGAGGCAACTTGCATCCAGCCAAACTGGAAATTGTGTTACGCTTTGGCAAATGAAAAGACGCAAAGTGATATATTTGCGCTTCGCATTGTGTCATTCTGTTTTCATCCTTCCAGAAAGGAGATCCTGCAGGAGTATTTTGACATCTGCACTCTCCTCCATCATGAAGTGGTGCGGATCCACAGAGAGATGGCATCAGCTCTAACAGCCATCGATCCTCACAGAGAGTATGAGAGCTTCATCCATCAGAACAGGTACGCAGAGGCGGACCTTTTCTGCTCAGCAACATGGCAATCACGGAAGCTTACCCTTCAGAGAAATGATACTGTGGACTGTGTGTCTGAAGGTCTGTGGGGGAGATTCCTGCCTGTGCCGATTTTGACCACAGCCTTCTGGAGGACACCGAGCAGCTAAGCACTAAGGAGATTGAACTGAATGACCTCACCCTCGAGACGATCCAGCACAAGTGAGAACAACAGTGCAATCGCATTCAGATTTCGTTTGTTAATCTTGCAACAGCTTCCTCCACACGGCTAACTCGTGTTCCTTTAACCTCCCGTTAACCTTCCCTTTCTGTTTTATATATGAAGTGCTTCCTCTTCACCTGGGATTTCTGTCTTCTTCTCACAGACTGACTACGATAGAGGAGGAGCTCCTGGACCTGGCTCGGTCTCTGGGCTCTCAGCAGACTTCAGTTGAGCAGCTGGAGCTGGAGTTAGGGGAAGAGCAGGAAGGTGTCAAAAAGGGCCAGAGGTGAGCAGACCACACCAGGCTGATGCTGAGCTGTCAGAGATTAGAGAGGGGGGTTCACAATGGAAAAAATACACTGTCCTGTGGTAGCTGTGAAGACAAATTACTAAAGTTTGCCTCAGTGGGCAGTCCTTCCCATCGGGGGAGTTCAGTGTGCTGTTGGCTGTGCAACGGCTAATAACCAGTGTGGTCTCAGCGGGCCATAAGTGCCTTATGAATTATAATACAGCAATATGTTGAGAGTTATGGAGCCCAAACCCTCTCATTTGTCTTGGTTGATGAGGGTGTCTAAAGGTGTTAGAGCTATACAGACCCGGGGGAGTGATCGAGTCATTAACGGGCTCTTGAAGGACAAGTGGAAACAATGTGTTTATATGCAACAGAGTCTGCATTATCAAAGGCAGCTGGGAGCACATATGGTGCAGGTGGTGGGGTGAGGTGACACTGACCTTTGCTTTGCATGGTGAAGAAACATTTTGCAAATCAACAGTGAAAAACTGAATTAAGGTGACCTAACCTGACCTCAGATGTCAGCCTGAGTAGTTCAGAGGGTCGGATCTCCAGCATTTTGAGGTCTTTGCAAATGTTTTCTTGAGTGAAACTTTCTTTGGTTCTAATGAGTGTAAGCACAGCTGATCAATCATCTTCATGTGCGCATTAATCATTTTGTTTATAAACACCTGGTTAGTAAAAATTCCTACAGTTTAAAACCCAAACATCTGGGCTCGCCTGTTCTTGAATTAAGCCATAGACCATAAACTTTTTGTCAGTGGAGATCCTAAATGCTTTTTTCTTTTCTGGGATTAGGTCTAATCTTCATTTCTGTGATGATGACGAACCTGGGGCAACTTGTTTCTGATGAGCTTCAATGTCCAGCCCGTTCTCTCATTTAATGGCCAATTTAAGGGAACAAAGCACATAGAATTTTATGTTGTCATTAAAGGCTGTGTGATGATATGACGGCGTGTTGGGTGTCACCGGGGAAAAAACAAACAACAAAAACAATGTGATCTCCGGGTCAACCAAGCATGATTAGATTCTCCGCTGCACCTGCGCTCATATAAACATCCTCTGTGGTAATTAGCCATACACATGCTTAATCAACGTCCCATACACAAATAGATGATGAACAGTTTCTTGTCAATTACTCAGCTCTCAGTGCCTCAGAGGAGAAATAATGTAATTCTGATTGTGGTGTTTGTAGTGTGTGCTGCACTTAGAGGTACTTAACAGGGAAGACCGAGTACATACGGAGGTTGATTAAGTACAAAACCTATTCTGAAAAAAGTTGAGACGCTGTATAAAATGTAAATAAAAACAGAATGCAATGATTTGCAAATCTCATAAACCCGTATTTTAGTCAAATTACAACATAGGAAACATTTCAGTTTCTAGAGCAGCATATGATCTGGATGATGTCTCAGTGAAGACGCTGCATATTTTCATGCTGTTGTTAAAGAAGGGGGGATGCTGCAAAGTGGTAAACATGGCCCTGTCCCACATTTTTTGAGATGTCTGGCATCATTGTCTAAATAATAATGTTTTCTTACAATGGTACATGTTCTGAGTTTAAACATTTGTTATGTCTTTTATATTCCATTGTGAATATAATATGGGTTTATGAGATTTCCATCCTGGTTTTATTACATTTTTGCGCTGTATTTCAGCTTTATTTGAGATGGGTTTGTACAAATACCTCAAAAGATAAAAATCCTCAGATAATGAGGTGAAACAATTCTGTTTGTTTGTTCACTGTTGGGGTTTTATAAGTCTTATAGGCTCATTATCAGCATCTTAAGCATATGAATCAATATCAAGAACTGCAAACCTGCACAAGCAGGCGTTTTATTGATTTCTGTGCGCTTCTGTTTATTTCTGTCACTTGTGTTGTGATGCTGCACTTTGCTTTGTCCAGGGTCTACCAGTTCAGCAAGAGACATGCGATGGAAGAGTGCCGGCAGCAGGTCGCCCTAACTCAGGGCCAGAGAGCCAAACTGGAGGTTCAGAGGCTTCTTCTGAAAGAGAAACTGGACAAGCTGGGCTCCAGAGAACCTCCCTCTGCTCTGAATCTGGACACAGATACTGTTTCACTTTCATCCAGCACGAGCAACGTATGTCCTCGCTGACAGCAGCTTTCCCTCCTTTGTCTTTGATTAGCTCCTAATTACTGGTCCTGTCACTGGGCCAGCTGTACAAAATAAGCTGTGTGTTGCATGTAAACTCTGAAAACAACATGCTGAATTATAAAGCAGAAAAGCAGTTAGTCTTTCTGTAAGTCACAGACAGTTATCCTTTAGGCATGGATTGTACTTAACACTCAGAAAGTGTCAATCTAGTATTTTCCTCCAGGCTTTTGCATAAAGTTGCTAGCATGGAAAGAAACTCCAGTTTATCTATCTTCAGGCCAAACGCTACAAACTTGTGCTGTGCACCCAATCCTTTGTTACACTCTCACAGATCAATCATCCTAAATAATTTAATAGAGCCGGAGCAGCCTGATGTTGTCTTGCAGTTAGCGCTTAACCTGAAAAGCATATGAGCAAAGTGAGACATGACAATTCTAATGCCGACAGTAGACCTTGATAGGTTTTTTGTGACATGCGTAAAAAGCTCTGCGTCTTTTTTTTTGTCTTTTTTTTTTTTCAGGACCACACTCCACCCAGGGTCCTTGTGGAAGGGATATTGAACAATCTCAGCAACCTCTTTAAACCCAAATTTGAGGTAAGTTAGTAATTAAATTGCAATTAACGCACAATAATTACAGTGACCGATAGAGAAGCTGCAATTGTAGCAACCTTTATGGTACATGCTAGTTTCTTTCT